TTTGGTTGATTTGAGTAAAGTTGGGTATAAGGATGAACCTTTTATTTTGGCATATCAAGCGAGACAAATATTTTATGTCAAGGATCCATGTAATGAGAGATGGTCAATTGTCCTAGAAGGAAGAAGCATGCACGGAATTCATGAAGATGAGTCTCTAGATATACATGAAACACCTTCATTTTCAAGTAGACCATTTGATGACATAGTTGACAATGAAGTTGATGACATACATGCAATTCGAAGTGATCATGATGAAGGGATATGGGAAAACATACCAACATAATAGGTGTTTATCTTCACATTTTCTAGTTCTTTTTATTCAAACTTATAAAGTATGTTGACTTCATATTGTTTTGTTTTTCAGGATATGTCGGATTCCACAGATGTGCATGGAAGTGGTAAGTAGCGGTGGCGAGGAGCTGAAGTGGTGATAAAGGTAGATCCGTCACTTCGGCTAAAGGGTTGACAAGAAGGAGGGTAGCTAGAGAGAAAACTCAAGTTGAAGTTGATCCACGTTCGGTAAGGCATCTCGGCCCAAATGTCGCTAAGTTTAAGAGCTATTTGGGACTACTAGCTCGACACCATGTTCCGATTACTACTCCATCTTGGGATGATGTTGAGGAAACCGAGAAGAACCTCATGTGGCAGGATGTTCAGGTATTTCTATATTTGTTGAATACTTTATATATCATTATTAATTGAATTTAACATTTATTGGTCATTTCACAGCAAAATTTTGATGTTCCTAACACTGAGGTGATGAGGAAGAAGATTTTATCCTCCATTGCCATTAGATGGAGGGACTTTAAGACTTTCTTGACACGAGAGTATGTATTTGGAAAGTTTCGAGATGAATCTCCCTGTCTAAAGTATCAAATTAGTGAGGAGGATTGGTTACGAGTTTGTGCCGATCGAATGGACCCCTCTTGGCGAGATAAAAGACAGAGGTTCAACAACGCCAGGCAGGCTGAATGATTGATGGATGAACTCTGCTCCAACGATCGAACATCATACTGATATGTAGTCAGCATAAGGAGTTGTGCCACTACGTGATCCTTCGAGAATATACTCGATGCATCACACCAGTGTGAGTTATATGTTGAAGATGACCCCCCGCGTCTAGTGGCTGTTGGTCGAGTTTTTGAGGGTGGCTTAACCATCCATGGTGTCCCTCTACAGCCAGACTGGACACGAGTAGTAGTTGATGAAGTTAATGATGCTAATGCTCCAGTGCCTTTTCCTAATGAAGAGATTCAATTAGTGGGGCAGGCAAGCGGGACATTCTTGGCTTGGCCAAGACGTTTGGTTATGCCACTATCAGACAGACCAAGGTAATATATATATATATATATATATATATATATATACATATTGTCTATTTACTTCTTTTCTAGTATTATAATTATATAAATGTTTAATTAATTGTTATCATTTGTTTAGGAGGACTTGCGTCGTGCTAAGCATAAAAAGCAACCTATTATTGATGAGGATCTCGATGAATGTGATGATGATCCCATCTCTATGTTGTTAGCCGTATTACCACGGTTGAGGAAGAGACCGTGTCAGATACAATGGGATGTTAGAGTGTTTGGAATTGACAATTCCAGTGTTCCATTGTACATTTCCTTGCCCGATGCTTTAGAAATTGCTCGGGGAAATTGCATGTTAAACATTTCCATCATACAATTGTGGGCAATGTAAGTCATTTTCATTTATGTTTCTAAGATTATAATAATTATATTCAACTTATAATTAATTGTTTTAGGTACCTTGACAATTTGAGTGTGGAACAAGAAAAATCCGAAGTATACGGATTTATTGAGCCTCAATCCATCCAAAAATCTGGAAATACAAAGGTTGGAATCCAACAATATATGCAAACATGGATGAGTGACTCAAGAAGACATATATATTTGGCTCCATACATTGAAGGGTTAGTATTTTGATTTGTATTTTAATTTATATTTTTGTAACTAATTTTTATGTCATACAATGTAGGTCCCATTGGCGATTAATTGTAATCATACCCGGGATTACACTGTGGTATGGTTTTGTTCATTACATCGGAAACCGAGTCAAGAAATGAAAAGCTTATTACAAGGGTAACTTTATCTTTTATTCATTAATTATGTTTTTAAATTGTGAATACATATTGAATAATATATGACTTTTTTTCACTTAGAATCGTGTCTCGGAACTAATGTTCTAAGTGGAAAACCTAGAACAAAGACATTGCAGTTCATTTATCCTAAGGTTAGAAACTTATTTATATAAGTGAATACCATAATTATTGTTTATATTTCAATTTTGAAAATAATATTATGTTTTTTTCATCATTTCAGTGTAATAAGCAAACCGACTCGTTTGAATGTGGTTACTATGTAATGTATTGGATGAGAGCCATAGTTTGTGCGGGTTTAATTGATTCTTGGACTGGAGGTAATTACTTTTAACATTAGTTAAGTTTATTTAACTTTATTCATGTTGCATGCTTACAAGAGTCAAATTCATGTTTCAGGTATTTCAAGATCCATCTCCATTACCAGAATCCGAGATTACGAAATTAGAGAACAATGGGCAAAATTTTTTGTTCTACAATTCTAGTACATTATTTTTTATGTTCTTGTTCATATTATATTGTGTGTATTATGTAGTTTAGTTTAGTTTGTATAGGTAGCTTAGTTTGTATAGGTAGCTTAGTTTGTAATAGATTTTTTAGTTTGTATGTTTGTATTATTTTGTTTTATTATGTAGTTTGAATTATATAATATTATATTTTTAATTTACTAGCAAAAGAAAACTGCTTCGGACTGTCCTGGTTGTAATTTTTGCAGGTTTTAGTTGTAAAACAGAGTAAATAAACCCAATTTAAAAAAAAAACAGTAAATTTACGTCGTATATACCAATATGCGACGTAAATTTACGTCGTATATACTGTATCTGTTTTTTTTTTTAAATTGAAAAGGTTTTTACGTCTGTTTATTGTATATGCCACGCAAAATTACGTCGTATCTTCATAACTGACGTAAATCTACGTCGGGTAAAAGGGTCCGACGTAAATTTACGTCTCCCGCTTTTACGTCGGACTTAAATACGACGTAAAAAGCCCTAAATACCTGACGTAAAAGCCCCTTTTTGCACTAGTGAAGAGAATTAAAAAAGTTTCACTCTCACATAAAATATTCTCATGAGTGAAACATAACCTTCTCTCTCGTGTTCTCCTTGTTCATTTTGAAGCATCGATTATTTTTATCCTTATGAGTAAAGGTGTAAGAATTACTCAACAAAGAATAATGTGAAGTTTTATCAAATAAAAAAGATATAGGAATTTGAATTTTTCAATATAAAAAATATAAATTTTATAAATTTTAACATTATATATATATATATATATTTGTTATTATTTATTATTATGTAAATTTTATTATTGTTCTAAATTATAATTTCTTAAAATAATGGATTGATTTATATTATTAAATTAAAATAATATATATATATATATATATATATATATATATATATTGAATTATTGACAAACAAATAATAATCTTATTATTAAATTTATTAAAATTTTTTATTTTAAAAAATAAATTATTTTTTTCTAAATTATGGGGGCCACCGCTAACCCGTCAACCCATCCTTTGGCGAGCCGGACCAAGGTCTACAATTCATCATGATTATAACGGTCAGTCGTTCCGTCCCGCCTCGCTTTTGGTGGGCAAAAGGCAAGTCAAGCCAAAAAGGGCAGGTTGACCGCTTTGTCATCCCTACCTAGTATCAATCTATTTTAAATTGAAATCATGTATTGATTTGAAAAAAACTGATGTAAAAATTTAATACTTAAATTATCATTTTTAATATTTTTATTCTTCAAATATTTATCTATGGTAAGAGAAATATATTTAGTTAGATAATTTTATACATAATTATAAATATTTTATATGAAATTTAATATGTATATATTTTAAATGAAGTTTGTTTTATATTTAAGAAAAAAATTTATTGTCTGCCTCCTAAATTAAAACTTAGCTCCGTACCTTTATGTGATATAGATAGCTTAAACATAAAATTATAAATTTAAATATTATAAAATGGCCTGTTTAAGTTAAAGTATATTGAAATCAAATCACTAATGGGTCATTAAGACGTTCTAAGTAATAAAGTGCAACATCCCGTACATAAATAGTAGGTCATTTGCCAACTTTTGTGAGTCATTGGATCATAAATTGATACAGGGTTATCTTTTCATTCAAAATTATAATGAAAAAGTTGAAGTCTTTGCATTATAATAAGTTAAGATATCGTCTTTAGGAGTTGAGTGAGTGTTTGTACTTAATAAGACCAAAATTTTGCCTACTCCCAATATGTGTTTGTGTATTTGGTTTTATTGGGCCATGAAAGTTGGTTTCTTGTTAATGTTAGTTTTCATTAACATCGACATGTCCCACTTATAAACCAAACTCCTTTTAGCACTCATCACCAGTCACCGATTCAAGTATAAATATATACATCCATCCAATCCACCCCAATACAAAATCCCTTTAACTTGCTCTGTCTATTTGTTTCTTTTGATGTCCTGCAACTATGTTGTTTCCTGCTTTCTGATCCATTCAACAAATCCAAAGTTCAAACTCAGTTCATTGAAGCAAATCAGACCCTAACAAACCATGCTGATTTGATCTTCTCATCAATCAAACCATACTCTATCTCCTCTACTCACTTCATATGAGTTTCAACTTCACACAAAGAATTAACAAGTGTTTTTTTAATTCAAGGTTTTAAAAAACGGTCTGTGACTGTGATTTAAGCCTCAACATGAAGATTTTTGAGGTGTCTGCCACCACATTGTGATCGTAATTGTGGCTACATTTGTGTACAATTTTTCGAAAAACTGCTGTTCCAATTTAAACTTGGTTTATGGTTTCACTTTGTGCAACCCTTGAAGCTTATTGAGACTTCAAATTCTGGAAATTGTATCACCTTCCCCCTCTAATCCTTTAATGCTTTTCATGGAGTACTTGAAGGAAGTGGAAGGAAAAAGGGTCCATGATTATGTTCAGGTAAAGATGGGTAAAATGACAAGGGCAGTATGTGTGGCAGGACCAGTGATAGTGGGAGCTGGACCATCAGGGCTTGCTGCAGCAGCATGTCTTAAACAGAAAGGCATTCCAAGCCTAATCCTTGAAAGGGCTGATTGCATAGCTTCAATGTGGCAGCTCAAGACTTACGATCGCCTATGCCTTCATCTCCCTAAGCAATTCTGCCAACTCCCTCTAATGCCATTCCCCCAAAACTTTCCCTCTTATCCAACCAAGCAACAATTCTTGGCCTACTTGAAGGCCTATGCCAACCATTTTGATATCAAACCAACTTTAAGCAAGACAGTGGTCAGTGCCGATTATGATCACAGATGTAGCTGTTGGAGGGTGAAGACTGAAGGCTTGAAAAAGGAGGAGACAGAATATGTTTGTGAGTGGCTCATAGTTGCTACTGGAGAGAATGCTGAGGAGTTTGTGCCACAAATTGAAGGAATGGACGAGTTTGAAGGGCCTATCTTACACACTAGCTCATATAAAAGTGGCAATATGTTTTGTGGGAAGAATGTTTTGGTGGTTGGATGTGGAAACTCAGGAATGGAAGTTTGCTTAGATCTCTCCAACCATAATGCTCGCCCATCCCTTGTGGTTAGAGATACGGTTAGTACACTTTAAACTTATCATCAAAATAACGTACTCAACATCTTTACATATATTCTCCCATCACTAGTACATCAAGGAGTAAAAAACGTATCGTTTATGAAAAATTATAACTAAAGAACTCATTACACTCAACAATTACTGTGTTTATACCTACATTAGAAAACGTATTGGGCATTGCTTTTACAATAAAGTGACATGAACAGAGTCTGTTAATATATTACGTACATTAAGGAGTAAAATATGATATGAGCAGAAGCAAGACCACGCTTAAAGTTTTATATTTTAAATGTGCATTATGCTATTCAAAGTAGACTCATGAGTTGTTGTGAGGGTAAAATGTAAGCCCCATACGTCATTTTCATTACTAAAGAACCAGTATGACAGAAATTGTATCTTTGCGAAAACTAATCCATTATTGGAATTCGTTCGCATGCGCAAACGTAGTCAGCAACCCAAAATCTTTGATTGATGGTATGCTGTTTTCTGTGATGGAACCATTTTCAGTGGTGAAGAGAATCTCCGGAAGAATGAAAACCTGATGGTCACCACGCTCGTGTCTCTAATTTTCATAAAAAGTTTATTAAGCAACTTTTAAGATATTTTACTTAAAACGTGACATTTTCTTTTCACCACAGGTTCATATATTACCTCAGCAAATGTTTGGGAAATCAACTTTTGGTTTAGCTATGTGCTTGCTTAAGTGGTTCCCTATACGCGTGGTGGATAAGTTTTTACTTCTAATGTCACATCTCATTCTTGGGAACACAGCTCAATATGGACTTCATCGTCCCAAAATTGGCCCTCTAGAGCTCAAGAACTTGTACGGCAAGACCCCAGTTTTGGATGTTGGGACACTTGCTCACATAAAAAGTGGAAAAATTAAGGTTAGATAATTCTCCCTCCCTATCCCAATCAACACCAAATTATTTTCACCGTTTCTGGTTCTTGTCATAATCAAACAAATTTCCCTTTTGTTTTGTTCTCTTTCATTGATTCCAACAATATATCATCCAACATGCATAGGTTTGCCGCGGAATTAAACAACTAGCACAACAGAAGGTGGAGTTTGTGGATGGAAAAACAGAGAATTTTGATGCGATCATTATGGCAACTGGTTACAGAAGCATTGTACCCACTTGGTTGAAGGTGGTTCCTTCAACACTTGTTTGATCTTATGATTGATATGAATGCAATAGTACTATAATTAACATACAATGAATGGGGTTTTGAAATTTTTTGATGAGCAGGGCAGTGACATGTTTTGTGAGAAGGATGGATTGCCTCGGAAAGCTTTCCCAAATGGATGGAAAGGTGAAAATGGACTCTATGCCGTGGGTTTCACCAAACGTGGTCTTCTTGGAGCATCTATTGATGCAAAGAGGATAGCAGAAGACATTGAACATTGCTGGAAAGCTTCTAAGACCACGCAAGTGTAGTGTAGGAGTTTATGCACTTTAGGCTATACAGAAACAAAATATTTTGTTCATGGATGCACCATCCAAAATTCTCCACAATACATTTATTACTTTTAAGGGGAAATCAATAGGATTTGCATAGTAGTAAGAGATTTGGATAATCTGCATGAGGTTATAGATTCTAACCTCATTGCAATAATTGTTTACAAGAAGATAATTAAGGCTTAATTATAATGAGTTGCTTGAATTAAGCATTAATTATATTTAGATCCTGCCTCTTTCAAATATTACGCCTATTTATGTATCAACTATTCCAGATATTCTTAAAAGCAACACAAGCAAAAAATCGTGTAAGACAACAAGTGTAATTTTAAATTAAGGAGGATCTAGTGTAGTGGATTGCATTGCGACGAGGTTTACTATGAGTGAAAATTTAAAACAAACATTAAAAGAGATCTATTTTTAAAATAATAAAATTATATGTTATTTTTACTAATATTCGAAATTTTTTTTCTTTATAAAAAATAAGAGAAAATACTTTTTGTCATAGATCTAAGATTTTAGTGGGTATTTAGTTTGCGGCTTACAGAACACAAGAAATTTATCCACATATTTAGAGTGTTTTTATTTTTATTTTTTATTTAGAGTATATATGAAAGTTTCTCCAAATATATTCAAAATAGTGAAAAATATTATTTTTGTTTTTAAATAACAATAACTATAATAAACACATGTCAAAATTTTATTAAATATAGAGGTTAATAAAGATGGGAAAATAAATACGATATTTTCTGAACATTTTGTATTAAAAGTTTATAGCTTTATATACATACTGAAGCATTAATATCATCGATAAAATTGAAAAGAAAAACAATATACTGAGAAGAGGTATATATATATTATTCTTCAATTTAACCAATTTTTTATAATATTATAATTAAAATAATAATTTATTTTAATTATTAAATTTATTTATATATATATTTAATATTTATGAAATAATAGAACAACAAATTTTATTATCTTTAGATAGTAAACGTGTGAATTTGAATTAAAGTTTATTAATAAATTAATTCAATCCTATAAAATATTAATTTTTACTGTGAAGATTGTATTGAAGATGATTGTGTTACTCGATCCATTTTTGTCAATCTTATCTCTAATGTATGAAAAATGAAACATGACACGTTTAGACAGGAGAAATCAATACCGATTGACGAATTAAAATTGTCCACGGTCGCGTTGAGTTAAACTATTTTATAATCTTTAATTTTAATTATCTATAATATATCTATATATTATATAATATAATCTTATATTTATTCGATGAAAATATCTTATCACATTCTCGTCCAGGGATTTTCATCCAAATCTTTGAAAAACAAACAAAATCTCCCCTCTCAATTCATATACTGCGAGCACAATTTAAATCAGAACTCACAAAATACAAAATTACTTTTAAACAAATCAACGTTGAATCATAAAATATTCACTTTTCTTCTAAACAATTCTTTCATATTCTCTTAGAAATCAAATTACTTCAACAGTAATTATCTTCCATTCCTCATTGTCATGTCTTTTCCATTAGAAATTAAGAAGTGGGACCACCAGTGCACTTGAAATTCTATAAAATCTGTGCAGCAAACTTTTTTTTATCTTTTTCTTTCTACATGTTATATCTTCCTGTTCTACCAAAAATTCAGATAAATTTAAATTTAGAATATTGATTGATTAAGTTGTGTGATGACTTAGTCGAGATGGATTGGATCTATTAAATGATTGAGATGTGAGGGTTGAAAATTGAATCCAGTGCGCATGGAGGCCGTGTACTTAAACGTTGAATTCAATGATCATCATATACATAATTTAAAAAGTACGTTAGAAATTGAAGTTTGTAGTGAGAATTAAAGATAACAATAACAATTCAAATTTTGGACCAGAAGATGAACGAATCAACACTAGGAGTAGACAAAATGGTTTCACATATACCCTTCATCGTATAGAGTTTGTACGAATATGAAACCACCAAATAGAGAATGATGATGAAGTCTTATATGTAATCCATGCGATTCAGGACCACTAATTAAGTACTACTTATTGCTCATCATATTTTTTAATTACTAATGATTTCGTATACGGAACGAGTATGTTCTAGGTCAAGTCTATGTTCTAGGTCAAGTCTGAGGTGTTATCAATTTTGAAGTTTTCATCACAATTTTATCTTTAAAAGATGAATTTTCGTAAGTAAATTATTATCTATTTTGGAACTCTCATCTATTATGAATTTGTCTTTAAGATGTATTATGAATTTGTCTTTAAGATGTATTTTAATAGATTGGAGGAAGAAAAATAATTTTAACTATTTATAATCTTGACTTCTATGATATTTATGAGTTTATCAGAACATAAGTATCAATTGACAATTAAAGAACATATATAAATAAAACAAGATTCTATTCTCGAAAATATAATAAATATCATTATTTCATCTAAAAACGACTAGATTTCATATCCACTAACATTTGAATGAGAACAACGGATTGATTATAAAGGTGCCCGGCAGAAAGAAGAATGGAGAAGGAGAGGACCATTAACTACTCGACTCAAGGATGATTAATTGTAGAGCACTTTTATGTCAAAACACTTTCAGGATTGACATTGAAAGACGAAAGTTTCAGGAACAAAGCACAAACATAAAAGACAAAACGTACACATGGTGTATTAGTTTATATAATGAGAGGAAAGATGTTTATTTTTATTATATTGAACTATTATAGTTAAAAAAATGGATACTTACAAATAATATGTTAAAAAAAATATGAAAGAATTATATATTTTTTCAATAGGTGGTTTTTTTACCATATAAGATAATATTTATCAAGAGGGTTAGTTAAGTTGATAATTTGAAGACCTAATTTATTATTATAATTTAATTCAAATGGATTTGGTTGAACTTTTTTTTTTGTTATTGGGTTTAATCACATCTAATGTAACCTAACTTAATCTTCATGATATATAAGATGATGAATTTTGGATGTTGAATTTAAGATTCAACTTAATTCCATCGGACAAAATTGATTAAATAATAATAATAACAATAATAATAATAATAATAATATTACTTAATTATTATACTTTTTTAAAATATAAAATTATTTAAATATTAATTAATATTATAATTTTCTAAAAGATTATTCTAAATTTTTTGAAATTACACGTTCTGAAAAAAAAAACTAAAATCTATAACCTAATTTAAAGTAGCAAAAAAATAGTTGGATTATATTGAATATAACAATATAAAATATAAAAACTCAATTTAATCTAATATGTTTCATTACATCAAATGATACTTAACTAAATCCTACTCGATCCACGATACCTACAGTTTTAATCTTTAAGAGTGGGTGGATTAGATTGAGTATATCAAATAAAATACAAAAATTCACTTAATCTAACCCAAATATTTTTAATTAGATTGAAAAATGGATTTGATCAAATCTCATCCATCGATCTCATCTAATCTTAATTTTCATGTAGATAAATGAGGTATTCTTAATTTTTATTTTTCATTAAATAATTAAATTATTGTTATTTAGTAAAAATAAAATATTATAATTAAAATTTAAAAAATAATTATAAAAAGTTGTATTCTTTTATAATGGTATGGATGAAAAAAATCTTTTGCATTAAACTTAGTATGATGAGAGTATACAATTTAAGTTTTTATCTTAAAAAAAAAAAGAGAGGGAAAAGATTCTTTTACACCCCATATTCACAAACATATGATAGAGAGCTTTAAAATATTAATTTTGTATTGATGGAAAGAGAATAAAATAAAATAAATAAATAATAATATAAAAATTAAAAATAATTAATGTATATGTTGTTCAAAATTTCAGCATTCTAAAAAAAATCACTAAGGTACCAAAAAAGTATACAGTAAAAGTGAATATAGGACCAGAAAAAGTAATTCTTGAAAGAATACTGCCAAACCCTAGTCCTAGCTCATTCCTCATTCTTCATCACACTTATTGCAAGCCTCCACCCAATACACCTATGCCAAGAGAACATAAGATGAGAGTAAATCAAAACCCTGTTACTAAAGTAAATCTGATGCATCGATAATTTCTTTAAAAATATTAATAAAGTAAATAGAACTCATTCGGTTTATTGTTATACATGTTATTATGTTAAAAAAAAAATTATTAAGTAGAAGAGATTGAACTCGTGGTGCTCATTAGTTTTATTAATTTGCCATTTTAACTTGTATTTTTCTCCATTCTCTTCCTATTTAATTCATTAAAAAGTTGAATAAAAACATTAAATGACAGATTTTTGTTCTTAAATTACAAACATAGCTGAATGAAAATCTCCATATGTTGTAAAACAAACATAGGACCATATTCCTTCTCCCTGGGAATTAACGAGAAATTAAGCTTTCAGTTGGCTGCTACCTGACAGTATTCTAGAATTCTACATGGTCCAAATTGCACATGATACCACAGGAAAGCAACCACGACTTTGCTTTCCTATTCTGCAGTGCGGGTATACGCATGCATGTGCACATACGCTCTAAATCTGGACCATGTATTTCTTATATGTATATTTGCTTCTTTAATATTCGTGGTCCAAAACGATTTATTGTAATAACCGTATAATTGGGTATGCTATATCTTTCTGCAGGACCATATGCCATTAGTTTAGATGATGAAACACGCATGACCATTGACATTGAGAGTGACTTCAGGCTTAGATTCACTCTTACTTTTGTGCTTAAGTACCTAATTATTGTGCGGAGGAAGAGAAACCCTTGAAAACCTCAACTCAGGAGAATCTGTATGTAGGACCATAAGGTAAGTCCTAATATTGCCCACTGCATACAAAGACAAAAATCTTGGATTTCTCCTTCATCTTATATTTACTTTCGAACTTATCAACTTATCTAATTAGTCTAATAACAGAATAATATATATCTGCAGGATAGTTAAAAGAAAACGATGAGGTCCTTATTATGATATATA